TGTGGCACCACAGTGTCAGCCTTATCAGGATAAGTCTCCCCAGACCGACCCACTGGCTGTGAACATTATAAACTAACACGAGTCTCATTAAATGTCCAGTTTAAGGRTATTACACAGAAACATACCAAGGGAACATGAATCAAATATGCATTTTTATTCATTTACAATAAACTCATAAAGTACATCATTCTKATTGAAGCTAAGGGCATACAAAACTGTCCAACAGCTCCTACCCCCTTTTAATGCAGAAGGCAATAATAAAGGGCCTCCACAAGATAGATTACTACTTATTGGCTCAAATTCCTCGTTCTCCATTCTATGTAGCCAAGAGAAGAAACAACCTAGGTCCAATGCTATGAGCTAAATAACTGAATTCCCGTCCTCCAACCCTAGCCCCTAGGTCCCGAGAATGTAAAACAATGTTTCCATCAAAATCATCAAAGCCTCTACCAATTGCATACAAGACTTGGGTACCCTAACAAGCAACTATTACTGTTAAGCTTTGATGCAAACATAGAAGGAAAGAAACCATGGAGAAAGAAATCAATAATTTTCATACTCATAAACCAATGGTGATTTCGTAATTTTTCGGTGATTTAGGTCTAGTAATTTTAAGTTTTTTCAAACATATTTTTTAGTTTATTGGTATCACAAGAATAGAGTTAAGTTCCAACCTTTAGAAATTTGCAATTCTTAGTAAATTTTTTATCAAAATTATTATTTATAGTAATTCCTGTAACTTATTTTATGAATTGAGTAAATAATTTTATTAAAGAGAACAAAAGGAAGAGTACAATCAGCCTTGGAGGATGCACGAGATGCTAGCTACCTCCCCTTTAGGATGAGTACAGACCCCCAAGTCTTATCAATAAACAGAACAGAACTGTAGATTAGCCCAATACAAAGAAGCCCAAGAATTCCTGTAATTGATTGTTATTCATACTAAATCATGAGTTACTTTTTAAGTAATTTCTGGTTATTTATTGAGTTTGTTTTAGCAGAGCTTTTTTTGGCAGTTGATTTTAGTAGAGCTAGAAGAGAGTTATGAAGGTATTCTAGTTTGAATATAAGTAGTAGTCAGAATCTACATACAAGTAGGAAGCAGTTGTTTTTATGTCTTATTAGTTCATATAAGAGTGCTAACAGGCCTTGTAAGGACAGCATTACTATTATCCTTGTCTCTTAACCCACACTACAAGAAATATAATTTTTAAAAGCAGATTCTTTACCTACAGTTACTAAAATCAGTGGAATATACCCTTGCTACTGGTAGTCATAAAAATCCACTGGTATAGATATCAAGTATACCAAGTTCTGTGTATTAAGGGGCCATTAATTAGTGCAATGGTACAATCCCAGGCTGTCAAGTGTGAGAACACGGGTTCGATTCTAAGGGTGGCCACCTTCGTGCAAGAAAATGCCAAAGATTAGGACTGTAACCTCCCAAGACCCCATATAACTGGGACCAACATTGGGTAATGGCCCTTTAACTCCTAGGTTGAGCAAACTCCCAAGGCACATTGGACTGACAATGGAACAAACAAGACATGGAAAAATTTAAGGACAGAGATACAACAGTGTTGAGAGGACCAACTTCTAAGGCATCCTCACCTAATAAATTTTTCAGCTATGGTATATCTTATTCTGGGCTGACCAAACTCCTAAGGCACACTGGACTTAATGGAACAAACAAATAGAGACATGCAAAAATTTAAGGACAGATACAACAGCGTCGGGGGGTGGCCAACTTAAATATATTTCATTTTTTATACCATAGCTTTCCAAGGATTACTGTTGACTCTACAAATCTTCCACCCATTAGCCTTTAAACTATATATTTCATTTGTTTTACAGAATGGCATTGACTAAGGGGCTGTTTGATAACATCATAACAACCGAAGTAGCTGAACTGTGCAATGGAGCGGTAGCAGACAGATTTTGATCCCACAAAATCTAATTTCTCTTCCAAGACACCAAGCGTTGCTAATCGAGAACCTAGTATTATTCCAGTTTTTTTTTTTTTTTCTTTTGGTGTGTGAACAAGTATTCCAGTGTTTTCCTTCAATAACTAACAATTGTTGTTCTAAGAAGCATTGCACAAATAGTGTTTTGGAATGAATAAAATGGAAACATTGTGCATACTGCAGTGTGTGGCCATTGATATTGCCACAGAAAGACACTATATTTATTAAAAATAGAACGAAAAGATTAAAATATAATAAAACAGAAATATTTTAATGGCCAGAAAAAAAAAATCGCTTGACTGAAGCTAATACGATTAAAAAAGATGTGATCCGTTCTTGCGAGAAAAGTAAAGTAGCTTTTCAAGATTCAGCCAAAAAAACAAAAGATATTTGAAACTCACAGAGAAAGGCCTTTTCATCAGCAAACTGAACAAGTCCCTGAGCTCCAATGTGAGACCCATTGCCAGCATAATGAACCCAAGAGACAAGCTGTATGAAGTAGGGCCTCTCTTCACAAACCATGAGAAAGCAGCTGGTTTAACACATGCGACTATCCCTCCTATGGTCACATAGAGAGGATACAAGCTTGCGGCAGTTCCAAGCATGGATTCCCATCTGGGTTTCTCTGTGGGAGCAGGGGGAGGACAATCATGGCGTCCATGCACGGATTTAATGGAAGGGAATTTCGAGAGCTTCGTCACTGTAGAGATCGTGGGCGTTTTGGGTCTGATAGTGGAAGGCTTCCACTGTGTTTGTGGGCAGTAAATTGAAGGACGGAGGTGGATGGCCAGATTCATGATTGAATCCCGTGGCGACTGCGAGTCTGCAATACTTCAGACGAATGGCAGCTCCCTATAAAGCAGGAAACTCAGGTCCCCCACCAATCGATTCACGGGTCCCACAGCACATGTCAGATGTCACATGGTGCCAAACGACCCAAACCCAACGGTAGATTTTCTTTTTACTTTTGGTAGAACAACTGTATCAAGACTGTTGGACATGCGGAATCCTCTCCTACAGACTACAGATGGGACAAGATTGAAAAAAGGATCGAAAGAATCGACCGAAAAGCATATAATAAAGCCCGCAGCTTCATGCATGGCATTGGTGGACCGGGGACGATGTATATAACCATGAGGACTCCAGTGGTCAAACCCTAAATAAATTGAGCTATCCTTAGTAAATTTCTACAAAAATATTTTCAAGCTTCTTTCCACCACCCTTTCAAATGATGAAATCAAAACAGGTTCTTTTTATCATGGCCCCTTTAAAAGTACAGAACCGAATGGATTGCACGTTTCTTTGCTCATTCATCAAAGGTTTCTTTCTCAACCCTATTCTTATTACTTTCATTAATGACACTCTATTAATTCTCGTTCCCCCATTCGATTAACTAATATCATCTACAAAATTGTGGCAAAGATCCTGACCGGCAGATTGAAAACCTCTACTTCACAAAATTATATCCCCTTTTCAAAATGCTTTCACACCAAAAAGATAGATCTTGGACAATATTGTGATCTCCAAAGTGATAGTTCACTCTATGAACAGAAGTAAATCTAAGAAAGGTTCTTTATTGTTGAAATTTAACCTTGCAAAGGCCTACGACAGAGTTGATTGGCATTTTTTCTACTCTCCTATTAAGGCTTGTATATCTTCTCCTGCATGAAAATCAAAATTAACAGAGAATGTAGTAAAGCATTTACACCCCAAAGAAGGTTATGCCAAGGGTGTCCTTTCTCACCCTATCTATCCTTTATCTACATTGAAATCCTCTCTAGATTATTATCTCGAGCACTTCTTAGGGGTGAATTACATAGTTTCAAATCCAGTAATTAATTCTCATGACAAACTAAGGTGTCATTTGGCAAGTCTTTTTTTGAAGGATCTTTTAGAAGATCTGACAACCAAAAACTGTAATGGGCTTTTACATAAAGATCTTGGCAACCTATAGCCCGTTTGATTGAAGGTGCATCTTTCCACACGAAGATGAGACAAAATAAGTCAAAAGGCTCCATTTGGAGCTTCTCAAAAATTTCTCGAAATGGACTTGCAGATGATATTTTACTACTTGGGGAAGCAGATCTATGTGAAGCCCAAAAGATAAAAAGAAATCATTAATCTTTTTTGTAACTAGTCGGGCCAAATGGTCGATTTCAGCAAATCATCCATATTCTTTAGTAAGAACAGCACTCAAGTAGTGAAAGAAGCTATAATAGTTGAATTAGGAGTGGTGGATATGAAAAATGATGAAATCCACCTAGACAGCTCTTTACTTACTACAAGTAAAAAATCATCACCTTAGCAGTTTTTAATTGATAAGCTGAAATATGAACTTAAGTTGGAAGTCTAGAGTGCTTTCCCATGCTGGAAAAACAACACTTATTGAATCCACCGTCCAAACACTTCCACTATATTACATGACTACCACCTCACTTCCAAAATCAGTGTGCAAAGAAATGGAAAACATTTGTCATGACTTCTAGTGGGGTAAATCTCAATATCAAAGATCTATATATTTAAAAGCATGGCAACTTTCTATCATCCTAAAGAAAAGGGTGGACTTGGACTTCGTAAACCAAAACTCATGAGCAAGGCTCTCCTCTTAAAGCTAGCATGGCGCTTACTTTGTGAATCAAATTCGATTTAGGTTCAGATTCTTAATCAGAAACATTTGAGAGGAGAATCCTTTTAGAAACATCGAGTTAAATGAAACATTTCCTCTCTCTCTCTCTCTCTATGGAAAAACATGCTCTATGGACATTCAGACTTGTTGAAAGGGTGTAAGTGGTTTATCTCAAATGGTTTGGAAGTTGACATCTTTGATGACCCATGGGTGGATAGAGCCCTCATTGGAAAACCTCCAACTTGGTCTAATACTTGCAGTAGAGTTGCTACTATATATAATTGATCACAATGCAGGTTTCTGGAATACAAACCATATGCAGCAATTCTTTGATGAAGAAACCATTGAAAGGATCAAATCAGCCTCCCTCCCTACCATTAGTCAAGTAGGAAAAGACAGACTCATATGGGAATTTACACTCCATGGGAAATTACATGCAACTAGGCCTATAAAATGTTGACAAAGCGGGGAGAATCATCCACAATTGGATAGATTTGTAATGGTCTCACTTGGAAAAAAAATTGGGGAATAAAACTTATAATTCCTCGCATTAAAACATTCATCTGGAGATGTTGTATGAGCGCCCTCCTATTTGGTTCTGAAATGGGTAAGAGATGTCACTCAGTTAACCCTGTTTGTAAACTTTGGTTGGCATACCCAAAAACTTTAGAACATGTATTCTTCTCTTGCCTAGCAATTGGTCCTATTTGGCTAGCGTTTCTTATGGGTTTAGGCCAATGAAAAACAATATGGGAGATCTGAAACACTAGTTTCAAGAACGGATACAAGTGGATGATAATAACCAATTTTCATCTCCGCCCATACCTATATTTGTCTAGGGTGTGGTAATCATGTGGTACATTTGGATGGCAAGAAACAAAGTAATCTTCGAAGGTACAAATTTCTCTCCATTAAGATGCCAACTTAGCCAAGAAACATATTGAAGATTTGCTGAAAACTCTTAATAGTGACCATAGCAATTCTAGGTTTAATCCAAATACTACATGCATTAAACCCCAAGTTAACATCTTGAAAATTAGTAGTAATGGAGCTTGGTCTCCACATAAATCTGTAGCGGGAATCATCATTAAAGATCATTTGGGTTGCTTCATTGTTACTCGAGCCATCCTCATTGTTTGCTCCACATCTGAAGGAGCTGAAGCCATAGTAGTATGGAAAGGTCTATGGCTTGATCATTGTCAATGGAAGCCATCCAACTAGAAAGCGATGCTAAGGTAGCCATTGAAGCAATCCTTTCTGATGTCGATCCTCCTTAGAGAATTCACACCACTGTAGTTGATTGCCACTATCTCAGCTCCTCCTCACAGTGCAATTTAATTGACCTATGGTTAGTCAGGAGATGTAACTTTTTCTGTTTAATGAAATATTGCCTATTGGCTTCAAAAAAAAAAAAAAGCCCAAGGATATAGTACAAATGACCTCCTTTGCCATAACAACAGTCATTTATCTATGGTTCAGAAGAAAAATCATTTTGGTATGAATTGATTATTTTCTAAAGAAGTGACTTCAATATGTTCACTAAAATTTTTGCAATAAGCTTAAAGGAAATATTGCTAAGATCAATTGGATGAGAATCTGATGCTAGTTTTGAGGTAGATGTCTTAGGGATTAAATAGATAAAAGTTTGATTAAGGGAACCAATGAACTCTGGACTCACAAAACATTGTTGGACCAGCTACTTCAATGTCTCCCAACATTTCTAAAAACCTCCAGCTTACATGCCATCAAGGCATGGATCTTTAAAAGCACCCATGCTAAAGAGAGTGCTTTTTATCGCTCCAATTCATCAGGTATAGAAATTAGACAAATATATTATCATCATCATCATTAACAATTGGTGGAAGTCCATTATATTCAGGAGGAAGTGGTGAATAATTGCTGAAATAAGAAAGTAGGATGGAAGATATTGTAGTGGGTGAGGAAGTCCACATACCATCTTCATTTTCTAACCAACGGGTTAGAAGCCATGACATGAAAATATCGGGTATTTCTATCCCCATCTTTCTACCAATTAAATTGTGTCTATTAAATCCAATACATCTCTTTATCAAGCTCATGCTTTAGATCACTACATAGTTGTGATATGGTAAAATAATCAATAGGTTGAGTTTGGACACATTATAATTGATCTAATTGTTTCTCCAATTTATGAATGTTCCTTTGCTTTGAACCTATAGCACCACCTTTCATCTTGAAAACATTGATAACAGCATTACACTTATCAATGAAAGAGTCCAAGGTGGAAAAACAAGTTTCTTTGAATATATCATGAAAAGTTGGATCTTCAAACCATATTGCTCCAAAGCATCTTCTAATTGAATTATGAAACCGATGAAACAGATATAGTAAAATAGGAAAATGGTCACTTGCAACCCAAACAAGATTTTGGACAATAGCAATAGGAAACAAATGAATCAAATGGATGTTTGCGAAAGAATTGGTCTAGTCGCATGTGAATAAGATTTCCAAACCTATTATTACACCATGTGTACTATGGACATTGATAAACTACATCAAACAAATGACATTCAGCTATAGTATCTTTGAATCACAAAATATCTCCTAGAGATAGAGAGCGACCACCTAGTTTTTTCTCTAGCATCGAGAATATAGTTGAAATCGCCAACAACACAAATGGGTCCAACCCATTGACTTACAATAGAACATAAGTAGTAAAAAATTTGTTAGTACCCCTCAGAATTTGGATGTACATAAAAACAACACAAACACCACTCAGCAAAGCTTGGGTAGTTGATAATTTTGGCACTGATATAATTAATAATGAGGCGAAGAATCACAATATGAAGTTAAATAGACTTATCCCAACCCAACACCGAAAATGCAAAAGTTTTTAGCCTTATTCTCAATGTATTAGGTTTCTAAGAGAAAAAAGAATTTTGGCATGTTGGTGCATAGGAGCTTTTTGAGAGAAGGAACTGTGGGGTAGCTCCCCAAACCCTAACAATTCCAAGCAAGAGCAATCATGGTGTAGGTGAGACGTGAGAGTGATTTTGGGTTCACTCCCATCACCCATGTAGGAAAATCAGTTTCAAATGATTGCACTGGTTAATGATCAATCATCTACATATGTGAAAGAGGCAATCGACGAGCTATGTGCCTCAGCTATTTTAGACTACTAACTAGGATAGGAGAGACAACCTCAACATATTCAGGAGAATCAGATGAGGATCAGGCTTCCTCTTACATTGCAACATATTCAAGAGCACCATAGCATCTTTCATCGGAGCACCATAGCCCCGTTTCAAACTTCTTTATTCGATGGTTCATGAGGTCTCCGATTTTAAATACCACCTTTGTGACAAAATGAGACATTAAGATAGTTTAAGGAAAACCACTAAGATGTATCCACATGTCTAAAGAATTAGAACATAAGCATATAAGGAAAAATCAAGAATTCCTTTACAAAGAACAATCAAATTATTTTCATATAGCCACAGACCTTTGTCATACACCTAATCATGATCAAAACTTGATGAGAATATTGCTATAAAAGATTTAATACGAAATTCATGAATTCAATTGGGATCTAGACACCATGCCATACTAACCATCTCCTTGATACCAATAAACTTCACTTGTTTGTCTATCAAAATAGTAAAAATCATATGACTATTCCATTCCTCTTTCATAGCAAAATCTTCAGTTGTAGCTTGTCCACCATAGAGAAAACATGAGATATAGAGGATGCAAAGCAAAAAAAGAACATGTTGGGAAACTTGCTCCAAGGCAAGAGGGAAATAACTCAATTGTTGATTGATCCACAACTACATTCTTTGTTCTTCCAAATGGACAATTTGGTGATTCATTTCAACCTTTTCAGGGTCTCTGATAAGGCTTCCCTCTATCTTCCTACCTTTACATAATTTGCATAGAAGTTCTCTCTCACTTTCTTTCTCATCAATTAGAAGAGTAGGCTATAGGGTGTTTCTTTTGGTAGAACGGGATTATATATAAACCACTTATTTTTTTGCTGATGATATGTTGTTATTTGGGAAGTGAATTTCAGACAAGAAATCTCTCATGCCTTGGGAATTTGAGATATGTGCAAAGATGATCTTTACTTGGGCGTACCTCTCTTCAAAGGGAGTTGTAAATGAACTGCTCTTCCCTTCCCTAATTCTCAAATGATGGATAAATTAATGTGGAGTAAGACTCCCCAAGGAAAACTCACATGCTCTCTAGCTTTACAAATAATTACTTCTACATCACCAAGATTCTCATCATCTTAGTTTATCAAAGAGGACATGCCATGGTCAAAATTATGGAAACAAAAACTCATTCCCCTTATTGTAAAATTGTTCTTAAGGAGGTATGCTAACAATATCCTCCCTATTGTTGATAACTCGAGGAAACATAGCCTTAATATTGATAGTATATGTCCCTTATGAGACAGTGCTGATGAAAGTCTTTTACATATTTTGTTTTTGTGCCCTGCTAATCAAGCTGTTTGGTTTGGATCATGTCTCCGATTTAGGCCTTCTATGTGCAATTTTGTTGATGTTAGGGATTTTATTTACTTTTGGTGTTGTGAAAATGTGAAATACAACTATTTAGACTATTGTTATATGTTGTATAATGCATTTATCATGAGACCTATTTGGCTAGCCCAGAGTGCTAAAATTTTTGAAGGAATTTGTTTTGATCCTGTTACAGTTATTTGTAAATCCCATGTGTCTCTTGACACATGACTAATATCAACATCTTTAGTGAATGCCCTGTAATTGTCTTCTCCCTTGAATTCACTTCAGACTTCTTGAAGTAAGCTGGACAGAAATATGTTGAAGCATAATAATGATGCAAATTTTAAGGAAGGTGTAGTAGTAGTAGGTTATGTACTTAGAGATCATGATGGTTCATGTACATTGGTTCCAATAGTCCAACTTTGCTATGATAATGTTAAGATGGCAAAGGCTTTGGATTTGTTTGATGGACTATCATTGGTGTCTCAGTTGTTTTTATCTAATGTGATTTTTGAAGGTGATGTTGAAAACATCTATAAACTCTTGTTGGCTTATCATACTAATCCACCATGGTGGCCATCTCATGTTTTAGCATATTGCAAGAATTCATTTCAACACCTATATCTTCTTGCTTGGTGAATTATGTTCATCGCTCAACCAATAAGCATGTCCATGTTGTAGCAAAGAAAGGTCTATTTCTCCAAACATTTTGCAATATATTTTTGTAAGCAATGTTTCATCAAGCTAATTTAATGGAAAACCTTGAGTTAACCCAAGAAGGGTATTTTGATAATATTTCATTGTTATGATAATATTTCATAGGTATCAAAAGCATGAGGTTATGATAATATTTCATTGTGGGACTGGAAATTTATGGACATTATAATCCATTCAGTTACTATAATAGTTGTGTAGCAGGTTAATAAAAGAATAATGAGTTAAAAGCTCTGAGATTTGGTTTCCACCCTACTATATAGTGGAGAAAAAATAACTACAAAAGTAGAACTGTTGTGTAAGAATAAATGGCAATAATAGGCTTAACAACAATATGATTAAATAAAGAAAAATCAAGGAAAAACAATAGTGAAGAAAAACCAAATCATAATAGTAGATTTAGGTTTTACAGTGGCAAACTAGAGTATATTCTCAAAGCTAATGGTGTATTTGATGATCTAATGATCTGAAAATGAAAAAAAAAAAAGCACAACTATGTCACACAAAATGGTACAAATCCCATGGGAAATGATAAAAAATAGTAGACAATAATGATGAAAACTTACCTATTCTTCACGTTCTTGTAGTTGGAAAGGCAAATTGTTGCTGAGACTTCAACTCTGAGGTGCTGCTTCAAGTTCAATTATCATGGGATTAAAAGGAGAATGATGCATTTATATGTCTTATTTTACAAAATCTGTATCTGAAAGAAATGAAAAGGCTCGATGTAAAACAGATTTTGCTTTTGCAATGATGACAAATAATATAATTAAACCAATGGTTGCAAACTTGAACCAAATACAAATTTTGCACCTGGTCAAGATTTGCACTACACCCAAATGCAACCTATAGATTTACACAATAGTGATTGACAATATGCATTTGTCACTATAAATGTTTGTATTGATGACAACATTAGTCACTATAGATTTATGCAATAGTGATTCATAATTTGGTTTCATCACTATATATGTTTATAGTAATGGTTACATTTGTCACTATAGATTTTTGCAAYAGTGGCTTACAACATACATTCATCACTACAAATATGTAGTTACGATTTGATTTGTCACTAATAACAAATATATAATTAATAAACATATTTGTAGTGATGAATGTATGTTGTAATTAATGACAAATAAACATAGCTTTATTTGTCATTAATAACAAATATACTAATGAATATATCTATCACTATAGATTCCCTTGGTTTGAACACATCTAAACAAATCAAACCTCACCAATCAACTTAAAATGTCTGAAAACCCCACCCTGTCAAATTTTAGTAAAAAATATATCGTTTACCCTTCCATCTAAAATTATTCCATTTTAGCCAATTTCACTCTGCGGTCAAACCCATCTCAACCTTCCATTTGATGGCCCAAAATCAGTGCCATTGAACCAGGAGACCTAGTTTGACCCCCTTAAACCTGGCTTGACTTATTTCCCAAATTTACAAAAATACCCCTCCTACCATAATTATTGAAAATGCCCTTGACCAAAGTTACCCAAATTACCCCCACCAAAATTACCAAAATAGCCCTTCCACCAAAATTATCGAAATGACTTTGACCAAAGTTACCAAATTACCTCGACCAAAATTGCCAGAATACCCCTACCAAAATTACCAAAATGCCATTGACTAAAATTACCCCAAATTACCCCTGACCTAATTTCCAAAATACCTCTTCCACTAAATTACCAAAATGCCCTTGTCCAAAGTTCCCCAAATTACACCAACCAAAATTACCAAAATACCACCTCCTTCCAAAATTCCCAAAATACCCTTGACCAAAATTACCCGAATTACCCATTTGACCAATTCCCAAAATACCCTCGAGTCCTTGACCTAAATCCACAAAATGTCCCTCCTAAAATTATCAAATAGACCATAATTACCCGAAAGACCTCTTTAACCAATTACCTGAACTACCCTTGACCTAATTCCCAAAATACCCTTCCTTCCAAAATTATTGAAATACCCCTTCCGTCAAGATTACCAATACCCTTCAATTGCCCATTCTCTCTAAATGCCCGAATACCTTTCTGATGAAATCCCCAATACACCCTTTGATCAAATTCCCACATCATCCCCTCTTAGACCAAATTACAAAAATACCCTTAACAAAATTACCAAATTACCCCAGTCCAAACTACCAAAATGTCCCCATTCCAAATTACTAGAATATCCTTCTAACAAGGTTACCAAAGTTTTCTTCCAAAATACCCCTTGACCAAATGCCCTTTATACCCTAAAATTCCAAAATTACCCCTTCATTTCAAATTCCCAAAATACCCCAAAGTACGCCTAACCAAATTCTTAAATTACCCTCCGTCCCAAATTCCCGAATTGCCTTTCTTACCAAAATCCCAAAGTTACTCTTTGTACCCCAAATTTCTTTTGAACCTAACTTGCTGAACCTCCCCTTCCATCTGGAAAGTTGACGAAACCCCCCCCTCGCTAGGAAGCATCGTTCCCAAGAGAGGGAGGGGGTGAAAGAAAAGACAACTGGGGGTCGAAGAAGGGAGATTAAGAAGAGGGTTTTCAGAAGAGAGTAAAGAAATTCAGAAGAGAGAGAGAGTGCTCGAGTGAGAGAACTCGAGTGAGAGAATAAAAACAGAAGGAGAGAGAGAGATTGTTGGACGGGGTCTTTGAGAGAGAGAGGGTCCTCTTGGTTTAGGAGAATAGAAAAGGGAGGAGAAAGGAGAGGCAAGGGAGGCTGTTTCGAGAGGAGAGGAGAGAACTCGAGAGAGGGGGTTTCCTTTTCGTGGTTTTCCTCTGGGAAGTTGCCGAACGGTGAAGAAGAAGTGAAAAGGGAGGAGGGCCGAGAAAATCAAGAGAGAAAGAAGGAGAACCGAGAGAGAGGAAAAAGGAGAGCTGTGAGAGAGAGCTTGTGGGAGAGAAAATCAGAAACAGAGACGGATGCTAATTTGCTTCAATCGGCCACCTCGACTGCTATCATCGATCTTACCTTCTTCAAACCCCCAGCGCCGCTCCTAGTAATTCTGAATTGGGGTTCCTCAGCGCTGAAAGCCTAACCATATACTGAACCTTTGCATACAAGTTCGGCATCATCATCTGTCTTTAGGTTACAAGAGGTAAAATATTTTACCTCATCTCCTTTAATTTCATGCGAAGTTTTCTTTTGTCGAAGGTTAATATATGTGCTAATTGGGTGTTTGTATAAAATCCAAATTGAGTGTGAGAACCTTCCTCAACATCCGAGAGGATTTGGAGTTTTTCTTTTCACTCTATGAATCAACCGGATGAGTCCGAAGGTGGGGGTCTGATAGAAAAGGGTTGAGAATTCATCCTTTTGCTCACACCCCTGCATCCAAAAGGAGGTTGGTTCGAAGGAAAAGAGAGAAGCTCCTGGATCCTCTTGATTCACTGAGAACCCGGCTTCTCACATCCAATCCAAAGGAAGCTAGGGAAATCGGCATTCACACTGACAAGAGAGAGGGGTGCCTAACCCCTTCCCTCTCCCCCAGATAGGCCTTGTCCTGACTGATTAGTATGGAGTCATTGTTAATCCTAAAGGATTTATAAAATTTAAATACGGTAGGCCCATCACTCCCAGTTACACATTCTGATGGGTGGTGACTCCATTTACTTGGCCATGAAGTGAACCGCCGGATATTTCCTGACGTTCACAATGAGGAATTGGTCTGCAGTTGCCCTCACTTCCTCTAGGAAGCCTAGAGTTCAAGTAACTTGGACTCTGCCGATGGAGGGTTTTGTTAAGCTGAACATTGACGGAAGTAGTCAGGGTAACCTAGGACCGTATGGGACCGGTGGTGTAATGAGAGATGAGAACAACAACATCATTGCCTTTTTTTCGGGACCAGTGAGAATAGGAGAGTCTATGAGGGCTGAACTCCTAGCTGCGGCATAGGGGGTACAGATTGCTTATCAACTTGGAGTGCAAAACTTAATAATTGAAGGGGACTCCAATTTATCAAAAAAAAAAAAAAAGTTGAAGGAGACTCCAAGGTGGTAGTAGGATGGTTGGCTGACCCGGGTACTGTCACTTGGAACTTTAAGGATATCTTAAAAAAGATCAAATGGCTTTTGAGGGGCATGACAGTTAGAGTTCAGTGGTTGGGTAGATCGGCTAATGCCTTGGCTGATTATCTTGCTAAACGAGGGGCTACTCGGGTTTCTTTGTATTGGGCTTCTCTGTAATTTTCTTTTTCCTTTGTTTTGTTCTTTAACTGAAGGGTTGATGGTTTCTTCCATCTCCCCTCCTTAAAGGGGAGGTAGCATCTCGTGCCTCTCCCTAAATTGTATTGTCTTGGGCTTTGATTTAATAAATCTGACAATTCACTGATAAAAAAAAGGGACCAAATGTTTTGGGCTGTATTTGTAAGATTTTTGTTTTTTGTTGTCCTCACGGAGAGAGTCTCTGGAGTGCTGTAACTAATTCTTATTAATTTAATGAATTCCTGTTATTGATTAAGAAAATCATTTCTTACTGTTTCCACCCATGTCCTTATTGGTCTACCCCTTGCCCTTCTATCCTATATAACTTTCAATAATATATATGATTGTAGTTTTTAAAATAATTGAAGCTTCTCTTTCTTAATAAAGTTGTCATATTTCTTGCAGTTAGGTCCCTTGTCTTAGTATGAGTATTCTTGATGATAATGACTTTAACTTGGAGTTGATTTGATTATGTCATATATGAATATCGGTTAAAGTATACAAGTGGTATAATTGCTATTACTATCTAATTATATGGTGTCTATAGGGTGAAAGCTGGTGTAAAGTCATTTGTCTAATCTTTAAGAATTTATAAGTTTTCTTTTAATGTTTTCTGTCAACTTTTAGAAAATAAGAAAAACTCTTATGATTTACGATTTGATTTGATTTGATTCAAACCCCCAATGCTATTTATAATATGATTTCGATTTTCAAAATATTTATTGGCTACTTGTTGATATTGTGTTTGTCAAAATACTATTATCTTTTTATTTTCTGTTTTCTAGTAAAATATCTACAAATAAAAGTAATTTAATTCATTTTAATAAGTTTTGGTATTGCACACTCTTGTTCTTTGTCTTAGTTTGAAATTTGGATGGAATAGATACTTTATTTCTCCTCTTACCTTTTATTTTTATTTTCACAGATGAGAGTGAAGAAGCAGAAGCATCATCGTAGAAGTGTAAGGTTCTATACTGCATGTTTTGGCTTTCGAGAACCCTTCAAGATACTTTGTGATGGAACTTTCATCCATCACCTCCTTGTCAATAAAACTAAGTCAGCCAATGATGCCCTTTCTAATATCCTTGGTTCCCCAGTCAAGCTCTACACAACAAGGTTGCCTTTGGTTCTTCCGCTATTTTAGTTCCTCTTTTGCTTTTATTCTGTATGTAAAACACTATGGTAACTTATTTTTGGTTCAAATGAACCTGCTCTTTGCATTTATAGATGTATTCTTGCAGAGTTGAAAAGTCTTGGAGACTCCTATTCTGAAACTCTTCAAGCAGCTCGTAATCTCTTCATGGCAAGGTTAGTTTCTTCTCTTTATTCTCCTTACCAAGTTATAGTGTGTTTGTTTTTGTCTGGTATCTTTCTGTCTTTGAAGACCTTTTTGCTTTTGGGATTTTTTTTTTTGAGTTATAAAGATCAATGAGATTATGTTAATAAAGGGGAGAAATTACAAACGAAAGCATGTCATTATGGACCCCAAGAAAAGAAGGTCAATAGTCCATTGATGCCATAGAATTTGTTGTGTTTTATGCACAATATGTCTCATAACCATTGGGCAAGGATCCAACAGATGCTGAATCTCATTTACTTGTTTTTTTTTTGTTTTTATTTGTTTTTATCAGTGATCGTATTTGCTTGTTTGGAAACTTCGATGCACCCCTCCCAATACCTTCCCCCCAGCTAATGGCATTTTCAGTATCTCCTACTAGGAGAAAAAACTCCAAGAGACCATGACACTAAGGCCAAAATGGATAGCAGTCATTTCTTGCTTTTGCTTTCTAATAAAATGTCTACTTTCCTCACAAATGGGCCTACTATATACTCATAGCATTGGGGTTCAAGCCCAAAGGGTGCCAATGAACTAGCATTGAAGTCTGATCCATTGGATGAAAGGTAGTTGTTGAATCACTATTTTGGTGGATATTGTGTGGTCTTAGTAATCAAAATCATTTTAAGTGAAGTTGCTTGTCCCTTAGGATTAGGAAGGTGCTCCCTACCATTATAGAAAATAATCAAGGAGATTTTGTAAGGGAAAGCAAATAACAGATCAAAATTTTATGGCAAATGAGAGTGTTGAGGACTTCAAGAGATCAAAGAAGAAGGGTGTGGTTTGTAAATTGGACCTGGAAAAGGCGTATGATTTTGTAGACTGGTCTTTCTTGTTGGAGGTGATGACTAATTTTGGGTTTGGAGATAGATGGTGTAGGTGGGTGATGGGTTGTATTCGGACTTGCCATTACTTTATTTTGGCGAACAGGATTGTAGAGGACTTCTTTCTAGCTTTGAGACGAATCAGACAATGTGACCCTCTATCTCCTTTTCTATTTACCTTGGTGTAGGTACATGGTGGTCACTTAGACCATCAGAGCACAAAAGGTGCTAAACCTGACATAAACGCTTACAATAAGTTCATAACCTGACACATATTTGCGATGAACTTATGACTCGAAACAGGTTGCGATGAGCTTTAGATTCACACGGACTTGCGACGAGTTTAAAGCCATCGCATAACCGCGACGAGTGCAAACTCATTGCAGAACGCAAGCGAATAAAAGGAGCACATGCGTCATTAGTAACGCGCACGACGCGATTCCGTGTGGACCTAAGAAGGATGAGTAAGCTAAATAGTGCTGTCACCCACGCCACATTGGTTTAAAAGGGTCACGAAAGGAAGTAGCACACGTGTATTATGAGAATCTTCAGACGAAAGGAAAGTTCGTCCTTGAGATATTTCATAGGACACGTGGTGAAACCCTAATAGTGTTCCTTGACAACTGACACCGAATCTAAGATTCCCTTTCCTAATGGGAATCAAACACTTTTGGCTCCTTCCTTTTGGACCTCGGGATTTCTCTCTATAAAGAGGGGTCCAACTCATAACTGGGAATCATTCTACCACCTCATTTGCCCTAGCCTTTAGCCTACCTCCTACCTCTCGACTTTCCTTTATCCTTCAAGGAGACCCCCGTATATACCCTGACCACCTCACTCTCACCTAGTTGTAGAAGTATTTTGTAAGTTGATCTGTAGAGTAGATTCTAGGAACCTAATTAGGGCTTGGAGAGTTGGAAGGGAGAATGTGTCTCTTTCTCACTTACAGTTTGTAGATTCTCTTTTTTGAAGGTAGAGACCTGAATTAGATTAGGAGTTTGAAACTCATTATATAACCTTTTGAGCAAATGTCAAATCTTAATGTAAATTTTGAGAAAAGTTGTATTGGGGGGGGGTTAATTTGGGGGAAGGGGAGACCATGGAGTGTGTTGCTATTTTGGGATGTGCAGTGTCCAATTGGCCCTTAAGTTACCTTGGTTTGCCTTTGGGTGATAATCCTTAGAGAGAAGGTTTCTAGAATCCAGTAGTGGAAAGGTTTGAGAAGAGACTGGCCTTTTGGAAGAAAAAAATATTTGTCACCTGGAGGGAGAATCACCTTGATTAGGTATGTCTTAGCCAACTTTCCTATGTACTTTTTTTCGGTGTTTAAGATTCTGGCAAGGAGGGGGGGTCTAGGTATAGGGAATATAAGGAAGAGGAATTTAGCCTTCTTAGGGAAATGGTTGTGGCGGTTCTCGCTGGAAAAAGAAAAGTTGTGGGTTAAGATAGTGGGTAATATTCATGGACTTGCAGAGAATAGATGGGATTCTGATATTCTGGCGAGGACTAAAAGGACATTTCCTTGGAAAGCAATCCAAGCTATGTTGCCTCTTTTTCTTCCCTGGATCAGCTATGATTTGCACTCTACCCATCTTATAATTTTGGRAACATGTTTGGGTTGGGGATTCTCCTTTAAAAGAACAGTTCCCAACCTTATTTGCCATTTCTACCTTCAAGGATAAACCAATTTCTACTTTCCTTGTACTTTCTGACTCTTCTTTGGGGTTTGGTTGGAATTCGGGACCGAGAAGAGAGATCAGAGACACAAAATTAGATAGTACCTTGTCACTCCTATCCATCCTCGAAGGAGTGTTCCTGGAACCAACAAAGGTAGACAACAGAACTTGGACCCTCTCCTTCTGGTACCTTCTCTTGTGCCTCTTTTTTTCATGCCTTAACACACTGGTTGTTCCTTTTGGTCTGTCCTTTCCTGTTAAGGAGGTGTGGTCTTAACCTATTCCTTTCAAGGTGGGAAGCTTCTGTTGGGAGGCCTTCCTGGAAAGAGTTAACACAGGGGATCTTCTTCTTCTTCAAAAAAGGCCCAATAGATGTTTGTGTCTTCATTGGTGTGTCCTCTGCAAAGCTACAGGTGAGTTTGGGTTTCACTTACTAATTTCTTGTCAATTTGCAAACTTTATTTGGGAATGGTTCACTTCTTTATTTGGGTGTAGGTGGAACTCTCCAATGGATGTGCAAAGCTTGTTTACTTCCTCTCCTTCTAGTTGTCCAACTAAAAGAGCAAAGATTATGTGGAGATGTGTTAGGGCTGCAATATGTTGGTCTATTTGGGAAGAAAGAAACTTGAGAATCTTTTTGTAAAAGGAAAGAACTGTGGAAGCGGCGATAGAAGTGATTCATGCAAGAGTAGTTCATTGGCTGAAAACATTGGACTTATTTGTGGACTTCTCAGTTGATGATTTGTCTAGGAATTGGAAGGAAATTGCAGATTCAGCCCCAGCCAAGAGGGTCTCAAGTTCTTGTTCGACCCCTCCACCTATTGGCTTTACCAAGCTGAATTTTGATGGCAGCAACATGGGCAATCCTGGGCCCTTCGGAATAGGGAGAGTCTTGAGGGATGAGAAAGGGAAAGTGATGGCTACGTTTTCTGGCCCAATTGGAATAGGGGACTCATTGAGGGCTGAGATTTTAGCATCTCTGGAAGGGATTCAAATATTTTTTAGCTTTAGTGGCATTTATGGGGAGTTAAGTTATTTTATCTCCCATTGGATGTTTTCTTAACATTTAATCAATTAATGAAATCTCTGTTATTGATAAAGAAATATTCTTTTTATGCGTTACTGATAAAAAAAGGCAAGATAAAGATTAATCTTTCCTTGATTATGAATAATAACAAAAAGCTCAAGTTTACCCTCGTTTTTTTTGATCAATTAGTTTACCTTCAATGTTCAATCTCATGCCCTACTCAACAAACTCCTTTTAATTGAGCCACTCAAGTTTGGTCCCAATCTGATTTTAAGTACACTTGGCATTTGATAAAACTGAAGTCTGACATCTGAAAAATAGAAAAGTTATTATCACAGCTATGGTCACTGCAAAATGAACTTGCTTTTCTGCTTTTCAGAGCCTCCAAAAACAATATTCTGTTTTCTGAACAGTTGTCATTATGAGTGACTAAAACACGTCCGAATGCATTCCACACATGGGTTACCTTTTTACCAAAAAAGACCTTATCACTTTTCAGAGGTAAGGTTATGCTGACTTAAATGAGACCCAATATCTGAAAAACAACATTTTCGGAGATCCGACCCTATTAAAGCATTACCAAACACGTTATGGTTTACTTCCCAATAGGAGTATTCTTTGCAAAGCTGATGGGGAAACAGGTTACCACATTATGGTTACTTGTCCAGTTACTAAGACTGTTTGGGAATGGGTGTTTTCCCTTTTTGGGTGTACTTGGAATCCCCCTGTGAGTGTGCAATGCTTGTTCTCTCCCTCATTCTTTAGATGGCCTAAGGAAAGGGGGAAGGTTATGTGGAGAAGCATTAGGGCTGCAGTGTGCTGGTCAATATGGGAAGAAAGAAACTCACAAATTTTTTCAGGTAAGGAAAGAACCACAAAAAACCTAATAGACTTGATACATTCAAGGGTAGCTCACACTCTGAATTCTCTATGGCAGACTTGTTGAGAAAGTGGAAAGAGGTAGCTACTGCTGCTCTTTGTAAGAGGACCTATAGACCCTCTTGGACCCCCCTCCCGCTGGATTCATAAAACTGAATTTTGATGGATGTAGCTTAAGGAATCCAGGGCCTTCTGGGATAGGGGGTGTGTTCAGGAATGAGGAGGGGCATATTATTGCCATGTTCTCTGGGCCAATTGGAGAGGGTGACTCTCTTAGGGCCAAAATTCTAGCAGTTCTTGAAGGAATCCAAGGAGCAAGAGAATTAAGCATCAAATGCTTAGTTATTGAGGGGGGACTCGGAGATGGTGATTAGGTGGCTGAAAGGAGACATCAGTGGCTTGTGGAACTACAGCAATGAGAAGAAAAAATTTAATTGGCTGAGTAAGGACTTAGAGGTGAAATATAGCTGGGTGAAGAGAAGTGCTAACTCAATGGCTGATGGGTTAGCTAAGCAAGGGGTGGCTAAGGATTTTTTGTTTTAGGCTAATTTTTAGTTTCTTCTTTGTCCTTTTGATGTTGGAGAGTTAAGATAGTTTACCTCCCCTTCTCTGTAATTAAATTTCACAAGTATTATTCATTAATAAAGCTTTCTGTTATTGATAAAAAAAAGCATTATCAAACACCACAAAAAACATACAATGATGCTACCAGTTGTACTTTAATACCACGGGTCCTGTTCAAAGGAAACACATGTTTAGTAGATCTTGATGATCAAAACTGTTCAAAATTCATGTTTTCCTTTCAATATATACTTGTATATGTATGCCCTTTAATTTATATACTTGTTTTTTTTTGTATTTTTACTATGTTTCAAAAAGAAAAGAAAATCCACTTGAAACTAAACAGGCTCCCATCAAGGGAAAAAGACAAATTAGAGTCAAGTTTTCTCACCCAACTACTTACAGATGATGTAATAATAGGATGAGATTGGATTTATGCCTGGAACATAAGAAGAATTTGCATTTACCTTGTTTGTTTAGGAGACTTTTTTTTTCAACCTTTTCCCTCTAACTATTACTGCATTTCCATGTTTAGATGTGATCATGAGAGGAGAAAGAGTGCTGTAGGATGCATTGAGGAGGTTGTTGGAGAAAATAATGCTGAACACTTCTTTATTGCTACTCAAGACACCAGTATTCGGGAAAAGTTTCGGGAGGTTAGCATTCTTCTTCTATTGCCTCTCAATCATTTTTGAATTAAGGTAAGGAATATTCATTAATTATAAAACACACGTATACAAGAAGATATTGTACAATGGGATACACAGATCTGCTTCTGTTTGTATCTGTATTGATCTGTGTACAAATTATTGAAAACCAAAATTGAGTTATATACTGCTCTAGAAAATTCATTATAAACCAGATTCCAGGATATATTCTGACCTCCTAAGATAGCAATTAGCAACTCTCTTCATTGCTGGCTTGATTTGGAATAACCTAGAGTTCCTCTCATTTGAAATGTTCCATATGGACCGACCATTGTGGTTGGGGCACTGTTCCAAATCACCTCTTTATGAAGAGTTGGGAGAATGCCAATCACCTTCTTTTATATTGCTCCTATGCCTCCAGAATGTGGCAACTAGCTTTCCAGTTTGGAAAACTTTGGGTGGCACCAGCTGAAGTGGTTGATTTGTTCAAAGTAGAGGTGATGGACTGCAGCACTCGGACACAGAAGCTTTTATGGCAACCTATGCATGGGGCTGTGGTGTGAAAGAAATGTGAGTCTTTGAAGAGAAAAGTAGGGATAGAGGAGGTTTTTGAAAGGCCATTAACACGGGGAGCTCCAATTTTAGCAACTGGAGGAAGGGTCTTCAACTAATCAGCTCCATATGTGTTTGTATCTAATCTTCTTTATCAGGAGCATCCTACAAAGCCATTAAGAAGATAGTTGAAATTATACAACTAGTTATACTCAATAACATGTTTGCCAAAGGGAAGAGTGTTCCACTCCTTATTTCTAGCCTTCAACAACTATAGTTTTTTTGCAGAATCTATAACCTTTCCACCTGAACTCCATTTCATCCTCAACCCACCATTTTTTTTTCTTCTTTTGAAGAATCAGAATAAACATTTTAATTAAAAGAAAAAAGATTCATACAACCCGAGGGGTGTCAAGATAACATCCAACTGCAGCCTTAAACTTATATAGCCAACACTACAAGAGACAAATTAAGAGACAACTGATCAAGATTACAAGTCTGTAACTCAAGAAAATTCCAAAAGTTCTCTCCCAACACTGCTCTATTAGTCTGATGAAATTCTGGATGCACCAGAATCCAATAGGACACCAAATTTTCAACCATAGCTATTATCCTTCCAATGTTCTTCTGTTTGTTCTCAAATAATCTTCTATTTTTCTCATTCCATATAACCCAGCAGACTGCAAAAGGGGTGCAACTCCACCAGTGATTTAAAAGGTGTGCCTCAGGCGCGCCTAGGCGCACAGGCGAGGCGCATTTCAGGGTAGGCGCCTTGCCCAGGTCCTAGAAGCAGCCCATTCAAAAGGCGCACGCCTGGTGCACCTTGCGCCTTAGCCTAGGCGTGCACCTTTCGAAAATTTGCCGCCTTTTCCTTTTTTTTTGAGTCTGGCGGCTGGGGCATGGCACAAAGGCGGCTCGTATAATTAGGAATTTAATATGCCACATTAGCTACTTGAAGTAATGTAATTGAGAAAAAAAGAGATTGTGGGTTTTATATGCTTGAAAATGTTTTATATGTTTGATTTCATTTTTAAATTCTCATTTGAATATGCTTTACATATTATGTTTATATTTTTAATTGGTTTTTTAAAACATTTATTTTAAAACTTAAGTTTATATTTTTATTAATATTATGTTTTATAATTTTTTTTCATTTTTTTCATTTTTTAGCTTTTTTTAATTGTGCGCCTTGCCTCAAAAAGGCGCGTGCCTCGCCTTGCGCCTTGTGCCTTGCGCCTTGCACTTTTAAAACACTGAATTCCACATGATCCTTGCTTTTTTACAACCATTAAATCTTGGCCAAGAAGAGAACAGCTCTGCTGTAGTTGAAGGATGAAACATGCTCATTCCTAAGAGAAAAGAAAAAAATCTCCACATGAAATGGGCAATCCTTCAAGAGTAGAACAAGTGGAAGACTGTCTCTTCATCCAAACAGCAAAGATAGCAGAAGCTTGCAATGCAAAAACCTCCGCATGAAATGGGCAATCGTGCAAGAGTAGAACAAGTGGAAGACTGTCTCCTCATCCGAACAGCAAAGATAACAGAAGCTTGCAATGCAAAAACCTCTACTCTTCAGGTATGTCTGAAGTTAAAATGTTATCCAAGGACACTAACCAGGCAAAAGCTTCCACTCTAGGGGGGATAGGGTTCTCCCACACTCCTTCCACTTGATCAGAAACCAGCTGCTCCCTTACCAGTGCCATGTAGAAAGATTTCACAGTGAATCTTCCATTTTTGCACTCTTTCCACCACAGACCGTCCCTAGAAGAGAGAAATATTAGTTTGTTGCAAATTTTCTAACAACAGTAGACATTCTTCAATTTCTTGATCTCTTAATTTTTTTTGATGAATGAAGATAATTTATTAATTCAGAAAAAAAGCAGTACAGGAAACCCTAAAGAGGCACGAGCTGTTACCTTTTCAGAAAAGTATTACATCAAAATAAAACAGAATTAGCCATAAATAAAATTACAAAGCAGCCCAAAATAACTGCTCCCTTGTAGCCCCCTGCTTAGCTAACCCATCTGCTAAGGTGTTTGCTGATCTTCCCACCCAAAGAGAGGTAACAGTCATATTTCTTGTAAGCCAGTTGACTTTTCCTTAATAAATCTCTGTGTTGCCAAATTGCTCAAGCTGGGTCTGTCAGCCATCCCACAACAATTTGAATCTCCTTCAACTACTTAGTGCCGAACTCCTAATTGTTCTGCAATCTGAATACCTTGTACCACCGCTAAAATCTCAGCACTATTAGAGTCTCCTATTCCCATGGGGCCTGAAAACAAGGCTAATATGTTGCTCTCCGTATCTCTCAGCACCTCTCCTATCCCCGATGGGCCTGGGTTTCCTTGGCTGCTGCCATCAAAGTTCAGCTTTACCCATCCTTCAGGCAGAGGGGTCCACACTACAGATTCCCTGTCCGTCCTTGTATGGCTGTTAGCCACCAATATCCAATTTCTCCAAATTTCATCAAAGGAAAAGGTATGAAAGAAGTCCAATGTTCTCAACTAGTTGATGGCCCTAGTCAAGATACAATCCTTAACAGCTTGAATGCTTCTATCTTTTTCCTTGAATATCCATGCATTCCTTTCTTCCCAAATTGTCCACAATGTGGCTGTTCTAATACATCTCCACATCATTTTCCCTTTTTTTGTAGGCCACACAAAAAAGGAAGGATCGAACAGTTGGCTTAAGTCTGTGAACAGATTCCACCTACACCCAAACAAAGAAAAAATCCAACTCCAAATAGCTCTAGACAAGGAACAAGATACAAGTCGGTGGGAGCAATCCTCACCACTAGCCCTACAAAGCACACACCAGTTAGGGGACAAACACATGAAAGGCCTTTTCTTCTGCAAGCATTCCAAGGTATTAATCTTTCTATAAAACACCTCCCAGCAGAAAATAACAATTTTAGGTGGAACAGGTCTAGACCAAATCTCCTTGGTTGGAAATGCCCACTGACTCAGGGAAGAGCAAGGAGACTTAAAAAAGGAAGCACAAGAGAAGTAACCTTTTTGATGAAGGGACCATAATCTCACATCCACACTAAGAGGGTCGAAAAAGACACTGTCAAAGAAGGGACAACAGATCTGAAACATTGTTAAGTTCATCATCCCTCTAACCTCTCTAAAAGCCATAATCCCAACTTAAGGATGAGGGTGAAAAAGGAGAAGGTAGAAAATGAGAGATAGCTTTTTCCTTGTAAAGGGAAATGGAATAGAGGGACGGGATTTGGTCCTTTAGAGCAACAAGATCCACCCAAGTGTCTTCCCAAAATAAAATAGAGTTATCAGAATTGACATCATACCTAACAATGTTGAGAAATTCAGAGAGGATACTTAGGATTGCTTTCCAAGGAGATGCCAACGTTGCTTGTCGTGATACACCCACGTTCCATCCATTTTCTAGTTTGCCATGTATGCTCGCTATCATTTCAATCCACAACCTCTCCCTTTCTTTAGGCCACCTCTACAACCATTTTCCCAAGAGGGCTTTATTCTTGAGAGTTAACCTTCCTAACCCAAGTCCACCTTCCTCTTTGCTCCTATAGACTATTTCCCAATTAATTAAATGATCTTTCTTTTCCTCCCTTGGCTCTAGAGAAAATTTCTCATTAATCTCTCCAGCTTCTTAGCCTCCCTCCTAAAAATAGATAAGAAATAGATCGGTAGGTTCGCTAAGGTGGCTCTCAATAAAGTCACTCTACCCCCTATAGAAATATAGTTCTTTTCCAAGCAACTAATCTTTTCTCAAACTTTTCCAAAACTGGGTTCCAAAAACTACTCTCTTTTGGGTTAGCCCCTAGAGGGAGACCTAGGTACTGCAAGGGCCACGAAGAGACATGACAACCTAGACAATCTGCCATAGATTGAATAATCTCCTCATTCATATTGACACCTACCACACAACTCTTATCCATGTTTATCTTCAAATTGGAGGCCTTGTCAAAATGTTGTAACAATGCTTTAAGGTTCCTCACTTTTTGCCCGTCACCCCCTTCACAAAATATTATGATATCATCAGCAAACTATAGATGATGGGTTACTTGGGCATTGTTCCTTCTTATCCTCCAACCACTCACTTTTTCCCTATTTGCCTTAGAGATTAATCTACTGAAAACATCTGCAACTAAGGTGAAAAGAAACAGAGAGAGTGGGCCAGCTTGTCTAAGGCTTCTACAAGCTGGGAAGAAGTCTTTGACCACCCCATTAACCAAGACTGAGTAATGGCAAGAACTAATACAACCCTTTACCTAGTTGCACCATCTATCTCCAAGGCCACAATACCCAAGGACCTCTAGTAAAAAACTCCAATCCACAAGATCATAGGCCTTCTCTAAGTCTATCTTACACAAGACCTTGATTCCCCGACTTTCTCATGTTCTCCACACACTCATTTGCTATTAAGATCTGATTTGTTATTTGCCTTGCACAAAGGCACCTTGTGCTTGACTAATG